GGATGAAAAGCAGAGCAGGTGCAGCAAAAGAAGTAAACTGCCTGGACATCAAAATAAAAAAGAAAGATTCAGGAAACATTAACATAATATAAAAGAAAACCATAAACTAAATGAATCAGCAAGGAAAATTATGTGGAACAAAGAAACAAGTAGCACCACAAAAAACACACAGTGAAATGAAAGTTATCAATTAATACCTGTTGGTAATTACACTGAATGAGATAGATAATAGCAGAATGGATAAGAGAACAGGACCTTTCATTATGCTGTCTCCAAGAGTCACACCGTACACACAAAGACAAATAAAAAACAGTATCAAAGGCTAGGAAAAATACATCAAACTAAAACCAGTAAAAAATGAGCAGGAGTGGCAATTTTAATCTCTGATAAAACAGACTTTGAGGCAAAAGCCAACACAAGAGACAAAGAACAGCATTATATTATGATCAATGTGTCAATTGAATAAGAGGACATAACCATAAATATCTATGTTTCAATTAAAAGGTGTCAAAATATATAATCAAACTGTAATAGAACACTTTTTTCATTAAGAAAGAAATAGAAAGCTCTACAACAATAATAGGAGATTTCAATATAATATAATACTTTTGGTGAAGAACAGAACAATGAAAAATGCAACAGGCACAAACAAACTAAACAACACAATCAACAAACTTGAAGTCATAAGCACATAGCGGCCACATAATCAATAACAGCACAATACACATTCTTTCCCAGTACACATGAAATATTTTTCAGAATAGAAAATATGTTAGCTCACAAAGCAAACTTCAATAAAGTTTAAGACATCAAAATACTACAAATCAACAACAGGAAGATCTAGGGGAGAAAATAAAATACATGGAAATTTTATGCCACTTTGTTTAAAAGCTACTGAGTAATAGAAAAAATAAAAAAAGAAATAAAAAGACATTCTTGAATTAAGGAAGAACAAAAGCACAACATATCAAAAGCTTTGGGACACAGCAAAAACCAGTACAAGGAGGACAATTTATAGCAATAAACCTGCACACTCAAAAAGAAGGAAGAAGTAAAATAAAAAACTTGCCCAAACATCTTCAACAATTAGAAAAATAACAACAAAGTAAGCATACAGTGGTGGTGGTGGTAAGCTTTGGAGTCGGTTCCGACTCATAGTGACCCTGTACAGGGTTTCCGAGGCTGTAAATCTTTATGGGAGCAGAAAGCCTCATCTTTCTCCTGAGGAACCGCTGGTAGTTTTGAACTGCTGACCTTGTGGTTCACAGCTCAATTCATAATCATAGGAAAAGAAATTATAAAAGTTAGAGCAGACATAAATGAAAATCAAAACCTTAGAAAAACAATAGAAAAAAACAGAACAGGATGTTGTTTCTTTGAAAGGATTAATAAAATCAGCACACCATTGACAAATCTAATGAAAGAAAAGATACAAATAACACAAATAAGAAATTATATGAATTACATCACAATTGAATCAACTGAAATAAAAAGGATAATAAAACTCATCCAGGCCTACAGCAAGAGAAGAAAGTGATCAAGTCATTAACACTCTCCTAACTAAAAAAGTCTGGGTCCATATTAAGAGCTGACCCCAATTCTAGTCCAACTATTCCAGAATATAGAAAAGGATGGAAAACATCTGAATTCATTTTATGAAGAAAGCATACCCTTGATACCAAAATCAGGTGAAGCCATAACTAAAAACAAAACAAAACATAGTCTAATATCCCTCATGAACACAGCTGCAAAAATTCTCAACAAAATCCTTACCAATAGAATCCAATAGAATTTCAAAAAAATTAATACATCAAGTGGGATGCATAACATGTATGCAGGGATGGTTCAATATTAGAAAAACAAACAATGTAATCTACCACATAAATAAAGGAAAAATAATCACATGATCATATTAATTGATGCAGAAAAGGCATTTGGAAAATCCAACATGCATTCCTGATGAAAACACTTAACAAAATAAGAATAGAAAGAAATTCCTCAACATAATTAAGAGCATTTATACAAAACAAACAGCCAATATCACTTTCAAGTTTAAGAAACTGAAAGCATTCCCCTTCAGAATAGGAGCCAGACAAGGTTGCCCTTTATCATCACTCATATTCAGTACTGTGCAGGAAGTTTTACCAGAGTTATAAAGCAAGGAAGGAAAATCAAAGGCATCCATAACTGGCAAAGAAGAAGAAAAACTCTATTTACAGATGATGTGATCCTATATATAAAAATCCCAAAGACTAATTAAGAAAATTGTTGGAATTCATTGACAGACACGGCAAAGCAGCAAGGTACAATATCAACATACAAAAATCAGTCTGATTCTTTTGTACTAATACAGAGTTTTGAAAAGGAAATGACAAAAACAATACCATTTAGAGTAGTCACCCAAAAGATGAAATACTTAGGAATAAATCTAGCCTAAACTCCTATACAAAGAAACGTACTAAATACTACTGCAAGAAACCTAAACAGATCTACAGAAATGGAAGAATATACCATGCTCATGGATGGGAATACTTACCATTGTGAAAATGTCAATAACATTCAAAACAATCTACAGATATAATGCAATCCCAACTCAGATTCCAATGTCATTCTTTAAAGATATGGTAAAACTAATTATTAACTTTGTATGGAAAGGAAAGAGACCCCAGATAAGCAAAGCATTACTTAAAAAGAACAAAGTAGGTGGCCTCTCACTTCCTGATTTCAAAACCTACTACACAGCCACTGTTGTCCAAACATCTTGGTACTGGTAAACAAAAGTCACATAGGCACCTGGAACAAAATTGAAAAACCAGAAGTAAATCTAGGATGTCTCATTGTAGAATCAGCACTGGACTGGGAACCACAAGGTTGGCAATTCAAA